GCTTGCAGCGGCATCTCTGCCCAGCGCGCTCGAGAACATGGCGACCGAGTTCGAGCCCAAACGGGTATTGAAACTTTCCATGCGAGTTGCTTAGGGTTCCTCTTATCGTAGGGCCACCGGACTTGTGCAGGGTGTATCGTCATGACCTGAATTGTCATATAAACCTCGTTCTGGCAAAATCGGGGACCACATACTCAAAAATGAAACAACCTAGTGTAGGTGGTAGGTGGTGCCGTGCTGTTCGACGGCCACCCGCAATGTAGTTTCTACAGCCACATTTCGGCTGCGCTCATGACGGCGCCTGCAATGACTGGGTAGGCCAGCCCGCCAAGCAGCCGTGTGGAGCCGGTGGTCCGCCCTGAGCGCCTGGAACGTGTGGCGACCAACGTTCCAGCCCTCCAGCCTGGACTTGGAACGCCTTCTTCCTCCCAGTACTATTCTCTTTGCGGTTGCATTGAAAAATGCTGCCGAATTTTTAATACAAAATTGATGATTTTATTAAAGACCTCTTTTCAATAATAATTCAAAAGAGAAGTAAAGTGAATTTTTATGCAGATTTGTATGTTATACAGGAAGGGTAAAAGAAAAAGGGAAACGTCTAGAGGACCCCCCTCCTGGAGGACCCCCCCTAGTAGTAGTAAACTTAAATAACTTCTTAATAGACAAATATCAAGCTAGTAAAGTGTTATTTTCCTCCCTAAATATATTTTATGCATTCTAACTCTGTAAAACAACATTCGACAATGTGTGTGTCTGTATAATAAGAGGACCGGAAAGAACCCAGCTACCCACGACATAAAAACTGCTGGGATGTATAAAGAAGATGCCAATAGCACAGATCAATTGTATTAACGCTGCCATTCTGATAAGCAATAGACTGCTAATTTATGTTCCTTATTTTTAACCTCTGCGACTTTTCGTACAAAGCCAGAACCTCTTGCTCCCGTCCTGCGTGTCTCCGTTTCAAGTGTATGTAAAGATACACTTTGGGTAGAGACAGGTACCAAGAAACTGGTAACCACAACCTGGGCACGTCTTAATCTTTCCCGTTCGATAGCGTATCCTTTCTTTGACTCCTTTCACCACATTATGCTCTCCCTTAGGAACTTTCTCTTCCTGAACGCTCTCAACCTGCCCTAAATTCGTTGCAGACTGCACAGTTCCATCGACCTCGCAGTCTGGTTCTGCTTTAATCTGTAGTGATAAAACGTAAATCACGTCAGTGATGAGTCAGAATAGTTGTAGTTTTAAAATCTATAAGAAAACCCACCTCCATCTTTACATCACTTGAAACACACTCGAAATCAAGGGGTGGCTGGAAAGCGCCAAGTACCTCGTTCATGTATTCAGCCAGGAACTTCGCCATCAGGCCATCACGATCGTTGGCCCTCTTAAGATGTCTTGAACCAACGTGAAGCATCGTCTGGTACAATTTCTCTTGTACTGCGTCCTGAAAACTAGAGAAGTGCAGTGTGAGTAAGTAGGCTACTTCAGAGCAAAACTTGAAGAAGGAAAATGGAAGAACGGCGGACTGCGCATGCGCAACGTTCTTTTCTTCATCTGTTTTTCTTCTTCGCTATAGGACAGCTCTAGATCTGGTGGGTTTTGAGACCTCACAGCGGGAAAATTGGGTCATCAGCGGAAAGATTTGTCATTTTTCGGTCCAAAAATCTACGATTTTGAAGAACTATTTCGATCAGAACTCAAAAGTTCTGGTCTGGGCTAGGGCGGACGCAATACGCAGAATGCAGATCATTTTAACAGTGCATGCTATTCCAAACACTGAAGGAGAATAAAACGCCAAAGGAAAACTTGTATGATATAAATAGCGGTATGGATAGCAACAAAATTATGTAAATGTGGGTGTTAGATCTCTTAAACCTCCACACCTTGTACTGAAATATACTTTCGGACAAAATTTAGTGGAAAAGGGGGTCTGCGTCGGGTCTGCGGGGCCAGATCATAAATATGTTCGGTGTTCGGCTTAAGTCATACGGTGGCCCGGACAATAGGGCTGCTTAGGGGGCAATCAGCGCGCGCGGAGCAGCCGATCGCCGCCCGGTGACGAGAGGTGGTGGTGACTTGACATAAGCCGAACATATTTATGATCTAGCCCCGCAGACCCGACGACGTAGACCCCTTTTCCACTAAACTTTGTCCGAAAGTATGATATAATGCAAGGCTTGATCATTACATACGTATCATCTGCTTCCACGATCCGTGCTATGACGGAACTCTTTTTTTTTCTACACCTTGGATTATAATTTTAATGTTCACCTTATTGACATCGAGGGATGTTCTGAGTGGCCATGGATGAGTAGATCATGAAAATAGGTTACCAATTCTGCTGCATCCTGCTGCTGCCCAGTAACATCTGCAATAATGGTTTCATAGAAAACAAAATGAGTAACGTCAATTAGGCGGGCACCTTACGAAACTACAAAGAGAGGAGTACTACTTTAACTTTAACGCAACACAGTAACACAGAAGTGAAAACCAAGTATGTAAACCTTTTAGAAGCACGCTCTCTGTCATCTTGTTCGAGAGGTATCAAATGGCGTTTCTCAATTCTGTTTCTCAGTAACGTGACATGGTAGTGGATCGTACTGTCGCCAAGACGCAGAGACATCCAGCAGAACGATTAAAACCTCGACGAAATAACGTTTGTTGCTTCAGTACAACTCCTCACAGCAGACGATCCCACCCCACCCCCACGATAAAAACATCAAGTTGTTTTTATTTATT